ACTCATGACCGTCAAAGGTGGGGCAAGATACATTCCTCAATCCTGCAGTCAACATAGCTGAAACTCCAGGTGGTTAAACCGAATCACATAGAACAAGGGAGTACCTTGCTCTGATACCAATTGAAAGTGCTAGTTATCGACTAGAGGGGGGATGAATAGGCGATTTTTAGCTAAGTCTTCAAAACGTGGAAGTTTCGAAGACAAACAATAGAAATGACCTAATTGATATGCAGCGGAAGATAAACTACAACAAGCAAGCCGTAGTCAAGTATGCAATAGCGTTAACGTATGAAGACTAATAGCAGCTAGGTAGTAGGATCAGGATGGAAGATAGTATGAAGCCAATCAACAATAGTAGTCAAGCAATGAAGTCAAACAGATAAGACAGATAGGCAATGACTTCACGAAGACAAACTCAAAGTAAAGGAGGGAAGAGATAGAACCAGTCACTTGTTGAAGACACATGATTTGTTGGACCAGTTCCAGTTGCTGTGACAACTGTACGTCTGGTTAGGGAGGCTGAGATTCAACTCAGAAGGTCGTGTCTTCACCTTATTCCCCTTGAGCTAAGGACACTTAGTCCTCGCCCAATCACTCTGGTAAGTCTTCAAGGTAGACTTCCAAACCTTCACAGACTTCGTTCACCCGGCAATCCACAATGACTCTTGGATGCTCAGAACGCGACGCCTAACCGGCTGGAGGATACACAGTCCTCAAGTGTAATAAGTCTTCAGGTCACACAGACAGAAAGACTTCAGTGATGCCTAACACTCTTTGGCTCTGGGTGTTTGGGCTTTGTCCTCGCAAGGATTTCTCTCTCTCAAATGCTTCGAGGTGGGTTGCTCTCAAACGACAAAAGCCGTATACTAACTCTAAGCAGCCACCAATTTATGGTGTAGGGGGTGGGCTATTTATAGCCACAAGGCAACCCGACCTGATTTGTCCGAAATGACCCTGGGTCACTAAGGAACTGACATGTATTCCAACGGTCAGATTTCAAACACACGCGGCAACTTTACTTGGGCTACAAGCAAAGCTGACTCATCCAGCTCTTGATAAGTTTTGCTCTCATTGTCTTCGCTCGAAGACATAGGATTTGGGTTGAGCATCACTTCAGTCACTCTGACTTAGTTCACTTGGACCCCACTTAACAGTATGCTGGTTCCTATGACTCAACAAAGAAGAAAAGGAAACAACCAAACCACACAGTCTTCGCGTTCCATAGGCTTCACGCAATGTCTTCTCATGTCATAGTCTTCAATATGAATATCTTCTCATACCACCATTGTCTTCAATGTCTTCATACATTTTTAGGGGTCATCTCCGGTAGGTAAACCGAATCAATGAGGGACACTACCTGCGTTATCCTGCAATTCTCACAAACGCATTAGTCCCTCAACCAACTTTGTCGTCAATACTCCAAAACCAACTAGGGGTGGCACTAGATGCACTTACACATTCATTAAAAGGTCAAGGATGGAGACATAGAGATTTGAAAAATACATACGAATCTAAATGTACCATACCCATTGACTGAGCCTCTTTCGCGAGCAAAACATGATCAGCACCAAGACTCCGTGGGTGTTAGATTCATTATAATGTATCTAGATTATTAACTCTAGTGCAAGTGGGAGACTGAAGGAAATATGCCTTAGAGGCAATAATAAAGTTGTTATTTTATATTTCCTTATTCATGATAAAGGTTTATTATTCATGCTAGAATTGTATTGATCAAAAACTTAAATACATGTGTGAATACATAAAAAAATACCGTGTCCCTAGTAAGCCTCTACTAGACTAGCTCGTTGATCAAAGATGGTTATGGTTTCCTAACCATAGACATGTGTTGTCATTTGATAATGGGATCACATCATTAGGAGAATGATGTGATGGACAAGACCCATCGGTTAGCATAGCATATGATCGTTTAGTTTATTGCTATTGCTTTCTTGAATGTCAAATACATGTTCTTTTGACCACAAGATCATGCAACTCCTGGATACTGGAGGAATAACTTGTGTGCTATCAAACATCACAATGTAACTGGCTGATCATAAAGATGCTCTACAGGTATCTCCGAAGGTGTTTGTTAAGTTGGCATGGATCAAGATTAGGATTTGTTACTCCGAGTATCGGAGAGGTATCTCTGGTCCCTCTCGGTAATACACATCATAATAAGATTGCAAGCAAATGACTAAGGAGTTAGTTATGAGATGATGTATTACGGAATGAGTAAAGAGACTTGTCGGTAATGAGATTGAACTAGGTATGAAGATACTGACGATCGAATCTCGGGCAAGTAACACACCGACAGACAAAGGGAATTACGTATGTTGTCATAACAGTTCGACCGATAAAGATCTCCGCACAATATGTAGGAACCAATATGGGCATCCAGGTTCCGCTATTGGTTATTGACCGGAGAGGTGTCTTGGTCATGTCTACATAGTTCTTGAACCCGTAGGGTCCGCACACTTAACGTTCATTGACGATATAATGTTATATGAGTTATATGATTTGGTGACCGAATGTTGTTCGGAGTCCCGGATGAAATCATAGACATGACGAGGAGCTCCGGAATGGTCCGGAGGTAATGATTGATACATAGGACGATGATATTCAGACACCGAAAGAGCTTCAGAGTGCACGGGGTAGTATTCGGATTGCCGGAGGGGTTCCGGGAAGCCCCGGGAGGATGATGGGCCTTTTGGGCCATTAGAGGGGAGCACACCAGTCCACAAGGGGTTGGCGCACCCTCCTATGACAACCGACCTATGGGAGAAAGGAAGGAGGGGGATTCGGCCTCCCCCTTCCTTCACTCTCCCCCCTTTTCCTTTCCCCCTCCGGCAAATATGGTAAGGGGGCGCGGCTAGGGAAGGAATCCTAGGAGGATTCAGCCTCCTTGGGACGCCTCCTTGGCTGCTCCCTCTCCCCCCACCTATATATGTGTGGGAGGGGACACCACACATAAGCGACGACAATCTCTTAGCCGTGTGCGCCGCCCCTCTCCATAGTTTTGTCCCTCGGTCATATTTTTGTAGTGCTTAGGCAAAGCCCTGTGGAGATAGTATCACCACCACCGTCACCATGCTGTCGTGCTGCCGGAACTCATCCACTACTTCTCCCGTCTTGCTGGATCAAGAAGGCGAGGACGTCACCGAGCTAAACGTGTGTTGAACGCTGAGGTGTCGTATGTTCGGTACTCGATTGGTTGGATCACGAAGAAGTTCGACTACATGAACCGCGTTACTAAACGCTTCCGCTTATGGTCTACGAGGATACGTAGACATACTCTCCCCTCTCGTTGTTATGCATCTCCTTGGATAGATCTTGCGTGAGCGTAGAAATTTTTTGTTTTCCATGCAACGTTTCCCAACACAAAGGAGTAGTATGGCAAGGATCAAAGGTAAAACTTGATGTCACAATATGGCCACACTGCACTGAAACCAAAAAGGGGTGTTCAATATAAGTGACCTCAATCTATTTCTTTATTTTGCTGAGGTGGAAATACTGGTACCAGATTTGATAGAAGTAAGCAGTACCATCGGCTATTGATAACTGTACCAGATTAGCTAGGTTCAGATGCAAGCTCAAAGCTGGAAGCACCACATGATTAGATTACAAAACGTCTCATAGCCAAAGACCTTGATCTGATTCACATGTTCAAGATAACACCCCACTATTATTTCAGGATAATATGATATATCCCTCACAACGAACAACTACTACAAAATTGACATCCAATCCAAACAGTGTCATTAGTCCTTTAGCTAGGAAATCAAGAACAATAATGCTTCTAGGTTCAGCTGCTACTCATCACCCTTACAAGCAGAATATGGTGGTTAGAGAGTGTACATAGATGAGGACCTGGCTACCGTGACGTCCCCTCTTCTTGTGGATGGCTGCGACCAAGAGGACGATGAACAATGGACGCGACGGGTATGCTTAGATCCTAGACCAACAACAATATGAAGAGCATAATCAGTCATACACACACAGAGATAGAGATAGAGAGGAGGGAGATGAACGCACCTTGCAATGGCCTTCGTTGTCTGCTTCTGGTGTTGTGGCCTAGTCCAAGGCTTGCCGCTGATGCTTCAGAGGGGGTAGCCGTAGAGCACACTGCAGAATAGGAGGCGACTCGTCACAGCTCATGCTCCTCCTGCCAAGCGTCGGCAGTAAGGAGGAAGAGGAGAAGGGGCAGGGCCGTCGTGGGGAGGAGGGCAGGTGGCGCCGATGTAGACGGCGGCGTGATGCATCTCGCACGCGCGTGAAGGAGAGATTCACGGCCAGGGTTCTCAACCAATCGGTCTCCCTCCTCTCCATACGCGCATCCCAACCATCTACTGAACGCCACGCAAGGGCCAACACCTGAAATCCCGAGTCTGCCCTCGGCGGCACCCAAAATTTACTGGCGGTGGCATGAGCCTTGCACCTATTAAAACCGGAACCGGCCAGACCCATTTCTGCAGCCGATGACAACAAGAGCCCGCTCCGTCTGTGCCCCACTTCTCATAGACACACATGACGGTAGAATGCATCAAAAACGACGGGCACTATTCATTGATTGTCACATCAACTCTGATTCAACGGCCAGGATCATTCCATCATGAAAAATGACGGCCAGGATTTGTTTGGAAGCTCAGTCGGACGGTCTAGAGAACACATGCCCTGAGAAGGCCTCATCTTTGGCTAGAATGTAACAATGGGATAGTACAAAGTACAAACTTAATAAGCTCAATTATAGGCCCAAAACAACCCAATAGGGTAAATCCTACCCGGACCAGCGTGCCTAACAATGCGCCCATATCGGCCTATATATCATGTGAGCCGTGTCTGGGCCAGGGAGCTAGGCACGCGTGCCTGGGTGGGCCTGGCCGGGCTGGCCCATCTGTCCAGGTCTGTGCCACTTAGGGACGAAAAGCCCACAAACCCACGGTCCCGATTTCCTCGTCCCCCATTCCACCGACCAAACCCTCCGTCCTCGCCGGCCGCCGGCCATGGAGAAGGCCACGGCACCCACCGCCAAGAACCGCGAACCTGGCGGAGCCGCCGGAGGCATTCCACGGAAGCGTGGTCAGAGTGACAACTGCTACGGCCATATCATAAGCGGTCTCCCCGACGCCATCCTGGGCACCATCATCTCCCTCCTCCCCACCAAGGAGGGCGGCCGCACGCAGGCCATCTCTCGCCGGTGGCGCCACCTCTGGCGCTCCGCCCCCCTGAACCTCGAGGTATCCCCCAGCCTCTGTGCCAACCTCAGTGAGCTCGCCTCCTTCCTCTCCAAAATCCTCTCCGAGCACCCCGGCCCCGCACGCCGCTTCCGCTGCCCCTCCATCCACCTGGGCGACAGCTACGCACAGGTCGACGGCTGGCTCCGCTCCCAAGCCCTCACCAACCTCCAGGAGCTCGACATCAGTTTCGTTCGCCCGTCGCCGCGGCCCGAGACGGATCACGCGCTGGCGTCGTCTCTGTACCGCCTGGCATCCACCCTCGTCGTGGCCAAAATCGGCGGCTGCAATTTCTCCAAAGAGATCGTGCCACTGTCGAATTTCCCCTACCTGAAGGACCTCACACTACACTACGTTTCCTTGTCGAAGGAGTTCCTACATGGCATGCTCTCTAGCTGCAAGGCCTTGGAGAACCTGCTGCTCTGGAACATCTTTGTTGTCGGCCACCTCCGCATTAGCTCACCGACTCTTCGGCGCATTGGCTTCTCCGTTTGTGCTGGTCACAAAGAGCTTGTCATTGAGGATGTGCCTCGCCTTGAAAGGTTGCTGCTACCTTCTCGAGGCAGAGGCGGTGGGACCATTCAGTTAATCCGGGCACCTAAACTGGAGATGTTAGGCCCTTTGTCAGCTGGTGTTGCAGTATTCCAGGTAGAAGCAGCAGACTTCTCCAATCTTGCATTGCACATTCCTTGCAGAATACATTTTTACGCTCAGTGTTTTCTCTAGGGAACGATGCCAATCAGCTTGACAAACTTGATACACACTGGGAAGGCTTTAGCTCTCACTTCTGGCCCTCAACTGAATGTTGTTCTTGACATCCTCAAGTGCTTCCCCTGCTTGGAAAGGCTCCACGTTGTTGTGAGTATTCATCCTTGCTAGTTGATTGGCATGTAATTTAGTCTAGTTACCACCAGCTTTGACATATGCCTCTTCTTTCTGTTTCTAGCTGCAGAAAAATTCAAAGATGGATGTGAAAGACGTGTCTCTGTATGGTCCACTAGATTCAGTCGAATGTCTTGGGACCCATCTCAAAGAAATGGTGATACTGAATTACGAAGGCTGTGAGCAAGATGTTGGCTTTGCCAAGTTCTTTGTTTTGAATGCAGTGGTCCTAAAGAAAATCAAATTTGGAGTCCCTAAGGACAACAACGGTGACTGGGTGGCTATTCAACTGGATTTGCTGCAAGTGGAGAATAGGGCTTCTCAAGACGCTCAATTTGATTTCAAATGTGGTTTGGATGATGTCATTAACTACCCGTGTATCCATGACTTGTCATTGACCGATCCTTTCGACTGCTTGTTTTCTGAATGAGGTGATTCTTTTTGAGAAGAAGCATATCCATGATTTTTTTGTGGCCAATTCCTTGGACTGCTCGTTTTGTAGATGGAATTAAAGCCTGAAGATCATATTGTCTTTTCCTCGCTTTGTAGACGAGATTAATGCTTTAAGATTGTCTTGATTTTTTGTCCAAAACCTAAACTTATTATGACTGCTCTATTTGCATTCTAAACTCTGAAATTTCTCTGTAATTTCTGACAGGGTATGCCATACAAAAATAATTTACTGCCAAAAGTTGCAACATGATCAGGCTACACAATTCTTTTCTTATTTTATCTTCCTACTTAGGCATGGCTTGTTCGTTACTACTCCCTCTGTAAACAAATATAAGATATGTAAAAGCTAGTGACCTAGAACGTCTTATATTTGTTTACAGCGGGAGTACTATTTATTAGGCTATTACCTATTAGTCAGCTTTTTTACATAAGCATGTGTATTGCTCTGTTGAAATTAAAGGGAGAGAAATGGAACAAAATCTTTAGTTCAGTGCATCTGCAGTGTCCCTGCTCACTACGGTCAATTTTGGGAGTTGTTTTACATTTCTTGCTGGAAGGTGTTCCTTAGATAAGGGGGGAAATCAGAAGATTTTGCTTTTTCCCAGTTATGAATTTACAAGTCAGTGTCATGTCTGCATGAAAGCAACTCTGTTGTGGCAGTTGGTTGCTAACTTGCCATTTACACACCATGTATCTTTTTGCTTACTGCCTCATGTGTTGTTGGTTTTTACTTCGATTGAAATCTAAAATCTATGCACTGACTTCATGAATTAGAAACTCCTTTCACTTCCCATGGCAGCGACATGCATAGTTCTAAATTCAGGATAGGTTATGGAGGGTTAAATTTTACTTGCAATATTGTATGGAAGCAGCAACTGACATAAATGTTAGCCGGACCCTGTGCTGATTGCTTATTGTGTTTGATTTCATAAGGGCTTCTCTTTTCTCCAGTGTATAGATTTTAGATTTCAATCGAAGTGCATGCATCCCTTTGCTTGTCTATTACTGTAAAACTTCAGATACTTGGCTGACAGCTCTATTGGCATATTTCTTAATCATTTTATCTTTTTTTTGGCAATGGCAGAGAACTCGTCAGGACTCAACCGCATATGGAGACATTTACATCAGGTGTCATGCTGGACAAGAGTTCTGCCGTAATACCGACAAGTCGGCCATTTCCTCCTAGGTGTTTCCCTGAATTCAGTTAGAAAATGCCTTACTACTTACTACCATATGCAATGTGGAACATATGCTGCGCGGAAATGGAATCATATGTAGCGGTTCATAATGCCTTGATACCATTCACCAGATGCATCAGTTGTCACAAACCATGTGAAGTGCTCAGACGATTGTCAGTTTTTAAATTTAAAGTTAGACAGAGATCCTGTCTAAACATGTAAGCTCGGTAGCTCACACCGCCTTATCTTTCACTCCGTTTTGTTTTGCTTCAGTTTGTTTCGTTTATCGATGGAATATGTGACATGAATCATGGCATCAGGAATCTGTGTAGCCAGATGTGATCATTTATTTATGTGAGATGTGAGAAAAAGAGAGGATGAAGTGTGTATCTACATTCTACCGTTGCTATTATATATCTGTCCTCTAGTTTTTTTTCTTTGAGACAGTCTGTCCTCTAGGTTGTACTTCCTCTCTGAAGAAATATAAGAGCGTTTAGATCACTATATTTTTTTTTAGAGAGAAGTTTAGGTCACTGGTTACGGAGGGAGTATTTATTTTGCACAGCGCCTGGAATTTCTAGGCCCACGATGAACTTTGTATCTCGGCCCAAAATCGTTACAAAGAACGAACGGTGTCACAGTTTGAAGTTTGACGCCAGAACCCCCGGATTCTCCGTTCGGCGCTCGCCGTTCCCCGCCCCACCAGCGCCGCCACCCGGCTGTCGTCTCCTCCCAACCCTAACCACTCGTCGCGGGGGGGTTGGACCGCGACGGCGATCTCGTGAGCCACCACCTCCCCGATGCAATCCGCATCTGCCTTCCTCCCCGCCAAGGATGGCCCGCTCCACTCTGCTTCAGCATTGACTTCTCTGGTCGTCCTTCGAGTGAACCAGAACTGGGCCTCGATGAAGCCCAAGTCATCCAGGTAGCAGCAAGTGTGTTGAATCTTCCATTTTGGTGTTCCTGCATGAGGATCGTTACTCATTTTTTTATGCCCATTGTTTTATTTAGGGAATGGTCCCAATCATCTTGGCACCATCATCTCAACACTGTCAAATACGCACCGTGAAGGTTTCGGCTCTCCAGTCTTTTCGCCCTCAAAGAATCCAGTTCTTGATGTCTTGAGGTCCTTCCCTAATCCCTTGCTTGGAAAAGCTCTATGCCATCATGACAATTCATCTTCTTTTTTGTTGTTGTGACAATTCATCTTTGTTTGCTTTCTGTGACATAATGAGTATCTGGTTGACATATAATGTACTCCTACACGGTAGTGTAGTTAGCAACAGCCTTATATAGGCACTCAAAGATGGATATGAAAATTGTGCGCCAGTATGACCCACTACATCAAACAGAATGCCTTGAGACCCATCTAAGGAATGTGGTATTGAAGAACTGCGAAGGTTGTGGGCAGGATGCTCGCTTTTTGAGCTTCTTTATTTTGAATGCACAAGTGCTAAATGCAATGAAATTCGGAGTCCCTAGAAACTGCAACAGCAAACGGTTGGTTTATTAACATGGGCTGCTACAAGTGGGAAATAGATCTTCTTGAGCTGCTCAATTCGAAATTAAAAGTAGTTCCACTAATGTTGATGCCTACATGGATATCCACGACTTTTCAAAGACCTATTCCTTCCGCTGATCGTTTTATAGATGAGGTTGATTCTCTTTCAGAATACCATATCCATGGTTTGACAGTGGCAAATCGCCTTGACTGCTCGTTTTACAGACATGGGTTGGTATCTGAAGATTGTATTATCTTTTGCTTGTTTTATAGATCAGTTTGATGCACAATGATTCTATTTCTTTGTCCAAACCCCAAATTTGACATGGCTGATATATATATAAATATAATCTCAGGTCCTTTTGTAAATCCTGATGGGCCATACTATGCAACACTAGTTTACTGCCAAAAGCTGTAATGTAATCTAATGACAGGGGCGGCAGGAGATC